CGATGGTGGCGAACACCTTTAATCCCAGCATTCGGGAGGCAGAGGCAGGCGGATCTCTGTGAGTTCGAGACCAGCCTGGTCTACAGAGCTAGTTCCAGGACAGGCTCCAAAGCCACAGAGAAACCCTGTCTCGAAAAACCAAAGGAAAAAAAAAAAAAGAAAGAAAGATGCCCTCTTTATGTTCCTTTCCTGACATCCTTTAATACTGAACAAAAATATGACAATATAAGCCACGTTACCGCTTTTCTCCCACTAGTACTCTCGATTGCTAAGATTTCCCAGAATCCCTCACTGGCTAGGGCCACCCAGCTGGGACTCACAATATTAGCAGATCCTCTACTGGAGGATCAGGGATCAAATTACTCAGACAGCATAGTTCTTCCATATCCGCCCTTTCAGCCCAGCAGACAGGGCCCAGGTTTACAAAGTTTGTATTTAGTACACATTATTCCACTCCCCTAGAGCACATCCTCTTCCTCATCCAAAGCACAGGGTCCTTTGTGTGCACATTCCATTGCACACTCACATTACAGTGCATCCATCCCATTGTCTCAGAAGTGGGAAGTCCTGCAGACAAACACCAGTCACATTCATAAAGTAACTCCTGTTACTGTGTAACTGTGGTTACTTTGTAACTGTTGTTAAAGAAAAACACACCATGAATTAGAAAACAATCCGGGCATATTTGGGTTTGGAGGCAACAAGGAGAATGTAAATATAATGTGGATTTCATCTCAAAAATTATTTTGAAAACTTGAAATAGATGTTATGGCCATGTGCTCCAGAGATTAGGGATTTGTATTAAAGCATGTTAAAGATTTCTCATGTATTTTCTCTAAAGATGAACATCTTAATGAAGAAATGTAACAGTCCTGTTAAGCAGGGCCACACTACTCTACATTTCTTCTTCATTGACAAGTCAAGGCCAAACCTGTAAGAAGTTGCAGAACTGTTTTCTCAGCACTGGGCAACAGAGGCAAGATTAGGTGTTCAAAATGATTCTTAATTATATAGCATGAGTCAAGCCTAAACATTAGGAGACAATGTTCTACACAGAAATCAAAATCAACATCACCTGAGAGAAATAAAATGCCACTATTAATAACTTTGAGACATTGGAGAACAAAAACAGAAATAAGAGCAGATACACGAAAATATCTGAAAATGACACCAATAAGTGACTTTCAAATGATAAACATACTGCACTCTTGAGATTAAATAAAACTTTCTATGTTGACTTTGAAACAGAGTAGGCCTTTCTATAAGAGAGGGGATGTCATTAATAAGAGATAGATTAATGGTTTCCATATACATATGTTGGCTACTGAGATCAGTAACCTGACACATAGAGTTAGTCAATGGTCTGTTTCTCAAATCTCTAAGCAGACATAACTGTGTCAAGCAAGATCAACCATATATATATTTTTTTTTTTGGATTTTTTTCGAGACAGGTTTTCTCCATAGCTTTTTGGTTCCTGTCCTGGAACTAGCTCTTGTAGACCAGGCTGGCCTCGAACTCACAGAGATCCGCCTGCCTCTGCCTCCACAGTGCTGGGATTAAAGGTGTGCGCCAACACCGCCTGGCAAGATCAACCATATTTACAAAGAATTATTGCCTAATTGCCTATCCTTAGCTAGCTCTTGTGGACCAGGCTGGCCTTGAACTCACAGCCAGCCTTTGCCTCCCGAGTGCCGGGATTAAAGGCCTGTGCCACCTCTGCCCAGCCAGGAACTTTTTCATAATGGTGGCTCTAATAGTTGATTGCCTCCACTCTTGCCCCTGCAGTATACACAATAAACTATTCCTCCTGCTGTGGTCTGAAGACAGAAGGAATGCTCAATATACAAATCCTTTCCCTGCAACTGCAATGCATAGTCAACTACATGACTGAAATGCATAATTTTATTTCATTTGTTATTATTATTTTCATTATTATTATTTTCTTTTTGGTTTTTAGAGACAGGGTTTCTCTGTGGCTTTGGAGCCTGTACTGGAACTAGCCCTGTAGACCAGGCTGGTCTCGAACTCACAGAGATCCACCTGCCTCTGCCTCCCAAGTGCTGGGATTAAAGGCATGCACCACCACCGCCCGGCCATCAAATGCATAATTTTAAAACTGTGAGGTGGTACAGTATTTTTTTTAGGAAGTTTGAAAGTCTAATGTACAGGACAGCAAGGCCATTGCCCTGGACAGCAGAAGACCAAGGCCACCTGAGTCAACATAAGAGCACTTGTCTCAGAAACTATTTTCCTAACAGGATGGAAATGCAGCTGTTCTAGAACTAATATGCCTTTCCGTTGAGAAATCACTTCACACACCTAAGAGATTAATAAAGAAAAACCTCTTTAAAGATGGTAGACATCAATCTGGCTAGAGCTCAAAGAGGAGCCAGCTAGACAGATTCCACATTTGCTGTTGTCCTTAAGCCTCCTTTAGGTTTAGGCTCTAGGTTACACTTTGAACAATTGAAATAGAAACAGGCACCTTGCCAGGCTAGACATTTAGGCAGATAGCAGAGTTACAGAGCAAAGGTATTCCCAGGGTAATTTCTTCATTACACTGGTAACAGGAATCCGCAGGTCATGCTTCAGTGACAGGGTCCTGAGGTGAAGGTCACAGGGGATGAGAAAAATAGGAAAACTAAAATGTAAAAAAGATAAAAATTGCTGGGCAGTGGTGGCGCACGCCTTTAATCCCAGCACTAGGGGGGCAGAGGCAGGCAGATCTCTGCAAGTTTGAGGCCAGCCTGGTCTACAAGAGCTAGTTCCAGTAAAGGAACCAAAAAGCTGTGGAGAAACCCTGTCTCAAAAATCAAAAAAAAAAAAAAAAGCCGGGCGGTGGCAGCACACGCCTTTAATCCCAGCATTCCGGAGGCAGAGGCAGGCGGATCTCTGTGAGTTCGAGACCAGCCTGGTCTACAAGAGCTAGTTCCAGGACATGTTCCAAAACCACAGAGAAACCCTGTCTTGAAAAACAAAACAAAACAAAACAAAAAAACAAAACAAAACAAAAAAAAAAGATAAAAAGCTAGGGTGAGAAGGTCTTACAGATTCCTAGTAAGCATCTTGCTGGCCATTGGTAGCACACACCCTTGCTGAGTCAGGTGATCTCTGTGAGTTCAAGGACAGCCTGATCTATCCAGTGAGTTCCAGAATTGTCAAGACACTCATACAGAGAAACTTTTTCTCAAAAAAAAAATTTAAAAAAAGGAAAAGAGGAGCTAGAGAGATGGCTCAGTGGTTAAGAACATTGTCTCATCTTCCAAAGGTCCTGAGTTCAATTCCCAGCAACCACATGATGGCTCACACCATCTGTAATGAGGTCTGGTGCCCTCTTCTGGTCTGTAGGCATACATGCAGGCATAATAAATAAATAAATAAATAAATAAATAAATAAATACATAAATAAATAAGAGTACAGTTTAGGCCAGGCAGTGGTGGCGCACGCCTTTAATCCCAGCACTCGGGAGGCAGAGGCAGGCGAATCTCTGTGAGTTCGTGGCCAGCCTGGTCTACAAGAGCTAGTTCCAGGACAGGCACCAAAGCTACAGAGAAACCCTGTCTCGAAAAACCAAAAAAGGAGAATAGCATCTTGTATACTTCCAGGGGAGAAATGGAGAGAAATGGGAGAATTATAAGAAGTCAGTACAAACTATCACATGAATTTAGGAGGAGGCTACTCAAACAATTCTATACAAGGGGAAAACAGGGTATCTCAAGAACTTTACTAAGAGCAGAGTGGCCATGGGACTGATAACTATAGTCCCATATTTTGGGAAGAATTGGATTCTTAGAATATGAAGCAACCCTTCCAGAAAGGCCTTGGCACCAGACCATTAGCAGCTCCCCAAAGCATATTCCTGGTTTTAGAGGAGCTCTGTTTTATTATCAATACATCAGGTACTTAGAGAAACTCACAAGGCTTAGGCCCTAGGCAGTTACTAGATCTCCCACGATTGTTCCTTCTTCCTGAAGAGGGCATAAAAGAAAAGCATTGATTGGACTGGAGAGATGGCTCAGTGGTTAAGAGCATTGCCTGCTCTTCCAAAGGTCCTGAGTTCAATTCCCAGCAACCACATGGTGGCTCACAACCATCTGTAATGAGGTCTGGTGCCCTCTTCTGGCCTGCAGACATACACGCAGACAGAATATGTATACATAATAAATAAATTTTAATAGAAAAAGAAAAGCATTGATTGATCGGCTAACTCCTCCACACAACACTGTTTTGCATTTCAATTAAATATCACCTGGTGTCCTATTGTCCATCTGGAAGAACTGTGATTTTCTCAAAAGGAAAACTGGAACTTTAAACCACATCAGGCCTTAAAGTAGGTTAGAAACCTGGAAAGCCTCCTTTAAAAACTTGTTTTTTTTTTTTGGTATGGGGATGTGCCTGGTGTCTGGTTTTAAATCAGTGGTGGCTTCTTTGTTTGTAATGGTTTGGAGCCAAATATCTGGACAATCCAGTTGAGCAATGTGTACCCTAGCAACCTAAACTCTAAGAGCCCTGTTTAAAACACATTTATCTTCTGGGTGATTTAAGAGGCAGCCCTCCCTCAGCTAATTCTACTTTGTGAGACTGAACTATTTCCAAGGCAGTGGAAAATCATTTATATCAGCAATTCTCCTCTTCTACATTGCGGCTTAGAAGTGCAGTGCTACCCAACAGGTGAGATGCCTTGATACCGTCCACATAGTTAAACACAAATGGAGATTGTGTGCAAAGCTTACATGCAAAGTGCTCAATTTCAAGAAGATACTGGAGAATCTAGGCCTCTCTGAGTATGGCATATTAAAGTTGACAAGAAAAATGTTTGTACACACAGCACCCTGCTCCCAATTCTCTAAGCAGATTAAGGCCACTGCACAAATTTATTCAGAGGTCTGTCCCTAGGTCTAGGAATTAACAGGGCCACGTGGGACTTCACAGCACAGGGAATCTGGCGGCAGGTTCCCACACGGATCCCGGGAGGATGCACCATGCTGTCTCCCACACCTCACCCTCGGCTCCTCCCCATCTGGAGACAGCATTGCCCCGCTCACCATGTTGGGGTTTCTCAGCTCGCCAAAGCTCTCAGTTCATCAACTTCCTGCAGAGGCAACTTCACCACAGCAGAGGAAACAACTGAAAACAGCGCCTCGGCAAAGCCAAATCTGAAGGAGGCTGCCCGGAAGAGCCCTGCACTCCTTATGACTGGCAGGTCACCTGGAGGGCCTGATTGGCTCGTGCAGTCTGAGTGACAAGCACACTGTCCACAGGGCTGTAGTGTGCTTAAATACTCAGCAGAGTGGTTCCCGACCATTTCTCCCACCCCATTCAAAGATCTTTTCTAGGTAGGCCAAGGTGAGCATTTCAATAGCACTTGCCCTTGGCAACAAAAGCAGACACGGTCAAGAACTTGTACTCCACAGGAACTTCCGCTTTTTCTTCCAGGACGCGACGTGGCTAGCTGGCTTGTGCAGTGCACTGTGCTTATCTAGGTGGGTGCAGTGATTTCCTGTCCCAGAGGGAAAAAGATGTCCAGAATATTAAAAGCTAAAGAGAATTTTCAGGTAACAACAACAAAAAAAAATGATTGTCATGGTGTTAAAAGTGTGCACTGCCACCAAGCAGTTAAAGGTGGTCCTATCATCTCAAATTATAGATTAATGGAGTTTTTTTCCCATTTAAAACCCTTTAAGTGCATATCAACCAACCCCAAGGAAAAGAAGTTAGGGTGTCGTGTCAAGGAGATACTTCCTGTCCCATCTTTATTGCAGAACTGCCGACCGACAAGAGACAAGACACAGCGACAACCTCGGCTTTGAACAGACGACTGGGGAGAGCAAGTGTGGTATCCGCACACAATGGGACGTTAGCTGGACACAAAAGTGAACAAGAATGAAGTCTTTATCACGTGTGGAAGCATGGAGGTTTATTAACTGGGTCAGGACAGGAAGACAAATGTTCACACTTATACATGGAAGTTTAAAAACAGCGAATCACGAAGTAGAAATCTAAGAGCTGTAGAGGGGATTTCCAACTGTTCTCAGCACAGGAGGCTGGAGCGATGGCTCAGCAGGGAGAAGGCTGCTCTTCCAGAGGACCTGAGTTCGGATCTTAGTGCCACATCAGGCGGCTTACACCCACCTAGAACTCTGATCTGGGAGATACAGCGCTCTTTTCTGACCTCTGTAGGCACAAGCACTCGCACACACACACACACACACACACACACACACACACACACACACACACGTAGTGTTTAAAAATGAAATAAACTCAGTGTTCCCAACATAGCCAAGTGATAAACGTTGGAGGTGATGTATATGACAGTCACCATGATCTGATCATTACATATTATATACATGTACTGGAATGTCATACTGTATCCTATAAACAATCATTGTGTATTTTTTAATTATTAAAGCAGATATAGTTCAAATTATATATTTAAAAAAAATAAAACCCTTTAAGTAAAATCTCTCTCAGGTATAATCAATTTTTAGGTAATCCCAGAGGTAGTATGACTACCCCAAATCAACATCTCAACAGTCAAGAGAGAAGAAATAAGAAATACTTGCCTGCAGGAGGCACAAAGTGCATGGGAGTTATTTTCAAAACAGTGTTTCTCCTCAACAAAGGAAGCATGGGGATTTTATTAGGGAGTCTGAACATGCTCATGTATCTTCTACTTTTTTAAGCATGCTCAGTTAACAAATCCACTTCTGAAACAGTATCACAAGGTAAAAACAGAGATATTTAGGGGCATTCTTACCTCAAAGTCATGTAGGAACATAAGTTATCATTGGTGCTTTTAATCTTAGCCATTCTGACTATTGTAAGATGCTATCTCAGAGTCACTTTGATTTACATTGTCATGATTACTAAGAATGTTGAACATTTCCTTAAGTGACCTTTAGACATTTGAGATTCTGTTGAAATTTCTCTATTGAGATCTGTATCCCATTTTTATTTGGAATATTTGGAATTTGATGTCTAATATCTTGAGTAGTTTATGTATTTTGGAGATCAGTCCTTTGTCTGATCTGGGGTTGTGAAGATTTTTATCCATTCAGTGGGATGCCTTTTTATCTCATTGACTGAGTCCTTTGCTTTACAGAATATTCTCAGTTTCAGAAGGTCTCATTTATTTATCAGTGCTCTCAGTATCTGTGCTACTGAAGTTATATATGCCCATGCACTGAAGGCTACATTCCACTTTGCCTCTACTATGTTCAATGTGGCCAGATTTGTATTGAGGTATTTAATCCATTTGGACTTGAATTTGTGCATGGTGATAGATATGGATCTACTTGCATTTCTCTTCATTTTGATTTCCAGTTATGCCAGCACCATTTGCTCAAGATGCTTTCATTTTTCCATTGTATAATTTTGCTTCTTTGTCAAAAATTAGGTGTTGAGAGGTCTATGGATTCATATCTGAGTTTTTGTTTGATTCCTTGGTCAACCTGTCTACATTTATGCCAATACCAATCTGTTTTCATTACTGTAGCCCTATAATCCAGGTTTATGTTAGGCATGGGGATACCTCCAGAAGTTCCATTACTGTACAGGATACTTTGGATATCCTGGGTGTTTTGTTTTCCACTGTTTTTTTTTCTTTTTTTTAAATATTTATTTATTATTTATTATGTATACAATATTCTTTCTGTGTGTATGCTTGCAGGCCAGAAGAGGACACTGGACCTCATTACAGATGGTTGTGAGCCACCATGTGGTTGCTGGGAATTGAACTCAGGACCTTTGGAAGAGCAGGCAATGCTCTTAACCACTGAGCCATCTCTCCAGCCCCTCTACTGTTTTTTTTTTTCTGATATTAATTTGTGTAGTGTGCTTTCAAGGTCTGTGAAGAATCATGTTGGGATGTTTTAAATTATTTGTGGCTATTGTAAATGGCGATTCTCCTCTGATTTCTTTCTCAGCTTTATTATTATTTGTATATAGGAGGGCCACTGATTTATTGAGCTGATCTTGTATCCTGATACCTTACTGAAGGTGTTTATGGGTTGTAGGAGTTTCTTGATAGAGTTCTTGGCGTCACTTATTTATACTATCATATCATCTGTGAATAGCAAAAGCTTGACTTCTTTCTTTCCAGTTTGGATTCCCATGATCTTCTTCTGTTTTCTCTTTGCTCTAGCTAGAGCTTCAAGGACTAAGTTTACTAGGTATGGTGAGAGAGGACAGTCTTGTATTGTTCCTGAGCTTAGTGGGATCATTTTGAGTTTCTCCCCATTTTTTTGATGTTTGCTGTAGGCTTTCTGTCCATTCCTTTCATTATGTTAAGATACCTTCCTTGGCCGGGCAGTGGTGGTGCACGCCTTTAATCTCAGCACTCGGGAGGCAGAGGCAGGTGGATTTCTGGGAGTTTGAGGCCTGCCTGATCTACAAGAGCTAGTTCCAGGACAGGAACCAAAATGCTACGGAGAAACCCTGTCTTGAAAATTCAAAATAAAGGGGCTGGAGAGATGGCTCAGTGGTTAAGAGCATTGCCTGCTCTTCCAAAGGTCCTGAGTCCAATTCCCAGCAACCACATGGTGGCTCACAACCATCTGTAATGAGGTCTGGTGCCCTCTTCTGGCCTGCAAGACATACACGCAGAAAGAATATTGTATACCTAATAAATAAATAAATATTTAAAAAAAAAGAAAATTCAAAAAAAAAAGATACCTTCCTTGTATTCCTTATCTCTCCAAGAACTTTATCATGAAGGGGTGTTAGATTTTGTCAAATGCTTCTCAGCATCTAATGAGATGATTATATTTTTTCTTTCAATTTATTTATATGGTGGTTACATTGCCAGACTTTCATATATTAAAGCATTCTGCATCTCTAGGATGAAGCCAATTTCATCATGGTGACTAAATTTTTGGTGTTTTCCTAGATTCAGTTGTCAGTATTTCACTGGATATTTTTGCATTAATGATCATGATGGATACTGATATGTAACTCTCCTTTTTGATACTTTGTGTGGGATTAGTATCAGGGTAACTGTAACATCATAAAATGGATATGTTTGTACTTTTTTTTGAGACAGGGTTTCTCTGTGATTTTGGAGCCTGTCCTGGAACTAGCTCTTATAGACCAGGCTGGTCTCGAAATCACAGAGATCTGCCTCTGCCTCCCCAGTGCTGGGATTAAAGGTGTGTGTCACCACCACCCGGCTTTTTTTGGTTTTTCTAGACAGGGCTTTTTTGTGGTTTTGGAGCCTGTCCTGGAACTAGCTCTTGTAGACCAGGTTGGTCTCGAACTCACAGAGATCTGCCTGCCTCTGCCTCCCAAGTGCTGGGATTAAAAGAGTGTGCCACCACTGCCAGGATTAAAATCTTTTCCCGACCTTTTACTCTGAGGCAATGTCTGTCCTTGAGATTGAGGTGTTTCTTATATATAGCAGAAGGATATATTCTGCTTTCATATCCATTCTCTTAGCCTGTGTGTGTCTTTTTATAGGTGAATTGAGTCCAATAATATTTGGAGATATTAATAACCAGTGATTGATAATTCCTGTCTTGGTCTGCTCTCTTGATATTCTCTGTGCAGTAACAGTCTCTGTTTCAGAGTTCCTCTGAGGCCATGCAGGATAGAGGTTTGGGGGCCAGAGGAGGACTTCTAGCTTGAAGCCTCCTACTCTGAGAGTTTTGGAGCAGCCAAACTGCTGGAAGCTTGTCTGCTGACCGGCTGGAGGACCAGAACCTTACTGTTCTGAGGGCTTAGAGAGTGGGGTATCAAGCTGGGTGGGTGTTCACTTACCTCTTTGTCTGCTGTATGCAGTAGCAGCCTGTGCTTGCAAGTTCCTCTTAGGTCACAGGAGGTTTGAAGGTTTGGGGGTGGAGTGGGACTTGTAGCTTACAGGGTGCAATAGAGAGGGTGGTGGATTTGGAGCACGCTACCTATAGGAATCTTACCAGCTGGCTGACTAGAGAAGGTGATGCAGGTGGGGGAGGGCCCTGGGTTTTGCTTGGAGCCAAGGGCCTGGAGAGTGGGTGCCTGGTGGGGTGTGTGCTAACACACCTCTTGTTCCACTGTGTGTCCTCTCAGTCTG